GGGTGGTGGGTTTGAACCCAGCCCGGGCCAACTAAACTGCAACAAAAATATAGCCAGGTATTGTGGCAGGGGCCTGTAGTCCCAGCTAATTGGGAGGCTGAGGCAAGAGAATCACTTATGCCCAAGAGTTTGTGGTTGCTGTGAGTTGTGACACTACGGCAACCTACCAAGGGTGACATAGTGAGACTCTGTCTCAAAAAAAAAAAAAAAATCACTGTCACCAACACGTAAGCCCATCAACTCCCCCCACACTGCAGTCTCCCTAGTAACGCTGTTGGCAGGGCGGGACGGCGCTACATGCCTGTAGAAAAAACATGTTTCCCAGCAAGGGCACAGCCCTTCATGACTGTGCCCTCAGGCAGGGTCTTTGATATGGCTTTTTCACCCCAATTCTTGGCTTTCCAAGAATAAACAGGGACTGCCTGCCCATAGGGGACACACTTAGGAGAGCCCCACCATGACAATTCCATGGCGCGGCCTGGACATCCTGTGGCTGGACCCTACCTGGCCTCCATGACGGTGACTGGGATTCTGCCTGTATGCTCGAACACCACAATGGCCTTTTCAACATCTTGGGATGCCTGGCTGTGGGGCTAGTTCCCACACAGAGAGGAATGGGGAAAAGAACAGAAGATTTTACAGACAAAGTGAGCAGACAAGGCCAGCACCAACCTCTTCTTCCTTGTTGCAATGACTCTCTGCACAAAGGTTGACATCCCTACACACAGCAAGGATCTGGGACCACAAGCAAATTCCCTAATAGAGCAAGCTGTGGAAAAGGGTCACACTGGCTGTTTCCACCCCCATAAGCTCATTCTGGCTTATGGTAGTTTAAGTCCTATAATCCCAGCACTTGGGGAGGCTGAGGCAAGAGAGCCACGGGAGGCCAGGAGTGCAAGACCTGCCTGCACAACATGACCAGACCCCATTATGACAGAAGGTTAGTCAGGTGTGGAGACACACTCAGGAGGCAGAGGCAGAAGGATGGCTTGGACCCAGGAGTTCAAGGCTGCAGGAGTTATGGCCACCCACTGCACTTCAACCTTATCTCCAAAAAATTAGATTAAATTAAATAATCCAGAAAAGGGGTGGCTCCTGTGGCTCAGTGAGTAGGGTGCTGGCCCCATATACCGAGGGTGGCGGGTTCAAACCCAGCCCTGACCAAACTGCTACAATAAAATAACTAGGCATTGCAGCAGGCGCCTGTAGTCCCAGCTACTCAGGAGCCTGAGGCAAGAGAATCGCCTAAGCCCAGGAGTTGGAGGTTGCTGTGAGCTGTGACACCACAGTACTCTACCAAGGACAATAAAGTGAGACTCTGTCTCAAAAAAAAAAAAAAACCTTTCCCCCTTAAAAAAAAAAAAAAAAAAGGCTCGGCACCTGTGGCTCAAGTGGCTAAGGCACCAGCCACA